AAGAGGATGTAGATCTATTGTGACCCACTGTCTTATCAAGGGGATGTTCATTGAGACCAACTGTATTATCAAGATGTTGATCCATCGTGACCCACTGTCTTATCAAGGGGATGTTGACCCATTGTAACCCACTGTCATATCAAGAGGATGAAGATCTATTGTAGTTAGGACTAATAATAAAATAATAATAAATTCCTGTTTAGCATACATTTCGTTCCAAGCTGAGGAATTTTCTATCAGGAAATGGCTAGATGTACAATGGGAGCTTTACTTAAATTATTAGTATTCTAAGTTAATAAAACAGCTAATTCTTCAATTTCTAGTTGATAATCGTCCAATAATCATGTTTTGTAAGTTAATTAGCATTCCAAGTTAATGAAACAACTAGCTACCTCAATTTCTAGTTGATCATCGTCCAATAATCATGTTTTGTAAGTTAATTAGTATTCCAAGTTGATAAAACAACTAGCTACCTCAATTTCTAGTTGATCATCGTCCAATAATCATGTTTTGTAAGTTAATTAGTATTCCAAGTTAATTTATTGGACGATGATCAACTAGAAATTGAGGTAGCTAGTTGTTTATATTATTTGAACATTGTGCATGTGCTGATGGCTAGGAGCAATTCATGGTAACGATATTACAAGTCTCGTGCTGCCCTTGGAACCACTTCCTCCCTCATTGACCATGAATACGTAATATTGACTGACACCGTAAAATAAATGAGCCCCTCCCCCAGTAGCACAGCGGCATGTCTGCGGACTTACAACGCTAGAATCCGGGTTTCGATAAGATACCCGTGGTGGGCAGAGCGAAGATAGACCCTTGTGTGGCTTTATGGTCAACGACAAGCAAACAAACAATCCATAATGAATTTGAATCAAGTTAAAATAAAATTTCATTGAGCTACAGCTAGGTAATCGAGTGAGATTGCTGTGATTCTAGTTTTTACGGCCATCTTTTTCATTAAACGGCCTTCGTGAACCTTCGTTAACTTCAAGGTATACGAATATACGCTTAGCTTTATTGTAATGGCTTTTTGGTCAGATGGTTCTCTTTTAACCATAGCCATCACAAATATTGTAAAATTAGATATTTCAGCATCCCAAAAATTATCCTACTATAAACTTCATCGTTCCAAAACTAGCACACTTGTACTAGATTTAGCTGAACTGTTTTTGTTGTTTGGAATTTTAGCGCAAAGCTACACGATATGTCATCTTTACAATATCCACCACGGGAATCGAACCCGAATTTTAGCGTTGCAATTCTATAAATGTACTGCTGACCCACTTTGTGACAGCTGTACGAATGAGAGAATTTTAATCAAAGTCCAAATATATTCAACAAAGCAAATACATATAAATATATTTGTCTACAGATTAGTTGGTTCATCTTATAAAGTTAAAAATTGGATATATGTGTTAATTACTATATGTGAAGTATCTACAGTTTTTCTCTCTTTCACAGGCTAAGATATTCCGAAATCGTATGTATCCAAATGTTGTGTTTGATAAAATTCCACAAAATCCGGTGAGGTGAGATAGAGAATCATCGCCAAGTGGAGTTGTAGGTTCTTTCCCCCAAAACTTGAGGCGCTCGACTCGCAATCTGCGGGTCGC